GCCCGGCCGGCGGTGGCGGCGGTGCCGCCCCGGCCGCCCCTGGCACCATGTTCGTGGGCTCGCACCACCTCCCGCACCACATCACCAACAGCAGCATGACGGCCGACGAGGCGCTCGGCCTGGCCATTGTCCTTGGCAGCAGCTTCAGCATCGTCGGTGTCGTCTTCAGCTTCATCACCTTTAGGTAGGTTGACTTCGGGTGCGTTCGATGCGGGCGGTGCTGGTTCATCACCTACGCGTTCGTCTTGCAGGGGGCAGGTCTGGTTCGTTGCGTGCTGGTGGCACTGGTTGTCACCGGGCGGTCTGTCTGGTACGGGACGAACCTGGTCTGTCACCGCGCAGTCTGTCTGGTACGGGCGGACCTTGTTGTCACCGCGCGGTCTGTCTGGTACGGGCAGACCCGATCCGTCACCGTGCGATCTGTCTGGTACGGACGAACCTGGTCTGTCACCGCGCAGTCTGTCTGGAACGGGCGAACCTGGTCTGTCACCGCCCGTCTGTCTGGAACGGGCGGAACTGGTCCGTCACGGCGCAGTCTGTCTGGAACTGGCGGACCTGGTCCGTCACCGCGCGGTCTGTCCGGTACGGACGAACCTGGTCTGTCATCGCGCGGTCTGTTTGGTACGGGCGGACCTTGTTGTCACCGCTCGGTCTGTCTGGAACGGCCGGACCTGGTCCTTCACCGCGCGGTCTGTCTGGTAGGGTTGCGCCGGGTCCATCGCCGCCAGGCATGTCCAGATGGACAGGCCTGGCACATCGTCCTCGGATGTGTCGCACGCGGGACTAAGCCGAATTTTATCTTTTTGATGTGCGTCTAATTTGTGCAGAAATTACAAGACGCAGCAAAAGATTACACGTTGGGATTACCATTCGGGGTTTTGTTGTCCGGCGGTCATTCGCGGTCGCGTTCCAAACCGTTGGACTATCGTCCTAAGACGTGGTGATTTCCTTGAAGTGAAGTTGTCATAAGTTGTTGGGATTTGAACCAGTTACGTCACTCCGAGGTGACTTCAAGAATGGATTTTATGAAGCCACGTCCGGATGATTCACTGGCTGTTCAAGATGAATGTACCATCTACGGCTGCATTTGGCAATACCTAGGTGATGTTTGACTGAAGTGAGCTATCACATGGTATATTGCGACAAGGGTGATGAAATTTAAGTGATGTGTGATGCATGTGAGCTGCCAGGGTGGATGAAAAGCAGTAGTGAGAGGAGCTTGGGTACCTAGTTCTCCTCATGACTCAGGCTAAGCGAGCTATGAAATGAAATGGACGAAAGGATTTATTATAGTAAGTGGCATTGAAACCTTCCAGTAGTGAAAAACAGATATTTATCATGTATATTATGAACGCTAGCAAAATTTCACTTGGAGAGACAACTCCAGACAGTTGGACTGAGAAAATTCCATTGTGCTTTATTTTGGGATCACCCGTTAGGATCACATGGTTACGATTTCCTTTTTTCCTTGCCGTTGCACTGGTACGATGGACACTAGTACAAACCGGCGGGTTGTCACCGCGCGGTCACTGGTTGTCACCGCGCGGTCTGTCTGGTACGGACGAACCTGGTCTGTCACCGCGCAGTCTGTCTGGAACTGGAAAAGGCAGCCGAAGTGCCTTTTCTGTCAGCCGTCAAAGTTTGGAACCGTCTAAATTTTCACCTTCAGCCAAACCTTTTAGAAACCGCTGCAATATGCACCAAACATTTTCGTGTCAGTAGTTCATTTGCGCTAAAGTGTCATTTCATGGCCATTAAACACTGCATGACAGTTAAGAATGATAGTTTAGAATTATCAAATGCAGGCATACTTGACATAACCAGCTTAGAGACGTGTGGTCTCCTGTTTAGTTTTTGGGAGGGGTGTGCCTCCTAACCAGGGATGTAGTTTCCTACTATTTTTTATGATTTTTGTCCATTTTTTGCATTAATCATAAGTCTGAGGGTTCAGCCGAAAACTAATTTTGAGAAACTACACACCTGCTCCCAACTCTCAAAACAAAGCGCGCTAAATCTGGAGGTCTAGCGCACTTTTCTTTCTCCTCCCTCGTTCGTCCCTCACCCTTCCACATTTCGCAAAACCGCAGCCCTGCAGCCTTGCCTTTAAGGAAAGCACGGTTCTACAACCATCTGGAAACAACATCATTTTTGGTTTTACGACGCCATCGTGTAATCAGATGAAAGCGTTGGCGACCTTCACTATCTTTGCATAATCGCTACCGGCGCAGGACCCACACTACGTAGCATAAGGCCCATTAATTGGTGCAAAACCGATGCAACATTGGTATCAACAGATGCAGACGACATTTTTCATCATCTCTATCATCTTCATTTAGGCTTATATGCAATATGATGGGAATCAAAAGGGTTTCAACACACGTCTGTGCACCGGCCAGAACGCCAAATCTGAGATACGACGAGCAATGTGAGGCCAACGCTAGCGGTCGCTTGGTCTAATTTGTTTTCATTTTTGCAATTTTGTCAACAATTAGCAGGTAAAGTTTCCGTTTTTGTCACCTATTACAGCCAGTAAATCAAAAACTTTTGAGCCCATGAGTTCAACATTTATAGGCGTAAAAAGGTGTGAACAAAAGTAGTGAATGGCGCAAAAACGAATGGGATGCCAGCATTAATGCCGACAGTAAACGCCAACATTAGCACCATTAGTTAAACGACAATATTACAGCCAATAGTACCGCTTGACGCATTCAACAGTGCTTTGTATCGCCGTTCAAATACGTTCAAAACGAATTTGTCTACCCCGTTATTCGCGTTAGATGCGTGCCTTAAAATACACCGCAGCATGAGTAAGACCGAGACAACGGGCGACGTTGGTACGTACGATGGCTGAAGGTTACTGCAAAAAGAGGCATGTGACCAAACATTGCCGCTGGCCACCCAGTAACAAGGCTCGCCCACTCAAATAACAACCACATCCTCCAATATCTTGTGAAGCATCTGCCTGCCGCCCGAACTCTTCCCCGAGAGAGGCACCGATGAGATGTGTGAAGGCACCGATGATAAATGGCATGATGTGCTGAGGAGTTTGAGAACTTATTAGCAAACTTCTACCGCCACGCAGAACACTGGATAAATATTCTCATCTTGCCAGCTCCGGATTTTCGCCACACAAATGGAGATCGATTACGGCAGGGGCCAAAGATCATCTGGAAGCCCGCTACACCACGCATGAATATTAGCAATGCGCTGTCTTTTCAAAACTTACGTACTGATGCGGGTAATACAGAGAAAGAGGGAGAGAGAGAGAGAGAGAGAGAGAGAGAGAGAGAGAGAGAGAGAGAGAGAGAGAGAGAGAGAGAGAGAGAGAGAGAGAGATATATATATATATATATATATATAAAGGTATAAACATATATATATATATATATATATATATATATATGTATATATATACATATATATATATGTATATATATATGTATATATATATATATATATATATATATATATACATATATATATATTCAAGGAACATGGTTGTGAATATGCATAAATGGAAAGCATTTTCTGTAACGCGTGGATAGCCCGTTGTTTTGCGCCTGTCGCCAAAGAGTGCTTCGTGGGTTGGAATGGCGACATGCGTTGTTCCGACAGCTTATTCTTGAATTTCGAATGCTATCGGTACGCGAGCACTTTTCCTCCAAGTATGTTAGATGCCTCTGTCCGTTCCTGGCAGCTGGCCCACGGCTAGCTGGTAGTCAGCCTGGGCTTGACGCGAGGTGCGCCGACCAGAGCACACGGGGCATAAGACAGCACGTTTTTGGAAAATTGAACATTTTAAAGCTGTTTTCCATCGTACGGATGTTTGGAACATGTGGCTCTTGACGCAGTTGGACACTGAAAACCTATGCATATACTTATAGACCTAGGAGTAGGCCTCAAACTGCAGTTTTTTGTTTCAACTTTTCACGACCCCATGGCGTAAAGGCAGTACTGGACCCCGTTGGTTTTTAATATTTTGGTATCATAACCAAACTTGCTTGACTTCCTGACAGTTAAAATCATTCATGCAATACAATATTATATCAGGACGCAAAAACGTCATGTCTGGTCGACCTATTGAGATCAAGGCCACTTAGTACATGGTATCCGTTCGTGATAAATTGGTACGTGGACCTAATATAATTTTCATAGTCGTGATCACTGACCAGGTCGCCGCGGGGCATCATAAGCCATGCGACTCAGAACGGGCAATTCGTATAACAGGACCTGACCTAGCTTTGAAAGACTAATCATTGATCTCGCATTGAGCTTTGATAACAATATTGCACATTCCTCACGCGGAAGAATGCGTCCCTAATTTGATATCGGTTTCAATTAAATACGCCCATCATTGTGCACTAAACAGTGCTCCGGTGATAGGATCTGTAAGGGATTGTTGAGGTATTTTAGGTGACTCAATGTCATTTTCCACTGTACAGAAGCACTTATATTTTTCAGGGGCGAATTGGACTGGATCTCGACTGCCGCTCCATTTTCCGACAAGACGATCATATCTCCGGATTACAGGGGATTACAAGTGACTATTGCAGGGGATCACGAAAGGCAAAATAACATCCCAAGTGGTCACGTGCTAAGAGTCGTGTGAAACAAAAGCTGGATCGCAGCTGTTCTTTCACGCAAATATAAATATATCCCACACGATCAATGAGTCCGTGGTGTTGGCTGTGCAAGCATGCACGTATACGAATGCACACTTAGCATGGCCGCGCGCCCAAAGCGTACTCGACCGATCGACACGTGCCTGACATACACGTAACCAGCATACTCGACTTGCTGCGTTGGAAGCGGCCTCACGATGATCAATATGTTGAACGTCGTAAAGATGGTCAAACGGCAATATATTTTCTTATACGTGTCCATTATTGCCCATTATATGTCCATAAATGTTCACTATATATTCATTAATGTTCATTATATGTCCATTAAACGTCAATGTATGCTCCATGGAAGGGATAGATACAAGCGATTGGGTGATGTGATTGCGTGCCCCAAGCACACTTTTATAAGTGATCATATTAAATATACGGCTGTGCGATGCACATTTGCGTGATTGTTGCAATGCGCTTTGTGCATGGAAATAACTACAGCATAAACGCAGGGAATGCAAATGTACGTGCTAGATAGATATAACATTCATGGACACAATACAGCGCTGTAAAG